AGGAGGTGAGGCCGTAGCGGCCTCGGTTCTGCGAGGAGCTCTGTCTCAGACCGGTGCTGAGCAGCTGCCGGGGTAATTACAGGCCACGGCGCCCCCTCCCCAGGGAGCGTCTGGCCCCGCACCCTGCCGAGACATGACGCAGCCCCAGAACAAAGGCTCCGACCCCTTCAATGGTAGGTCTCCCTCTGCTTCCTCCTCCGGCCTTGGGGAGCTGGGGGTGGGGGAGGGCCACCCACTAGGGATGGAGATGCTTGGTTTCACCTCCGTCCAGAGCCGCATCCTGCTCTCTCAGCACCACCGGCATCAAATCAGGAGCCACCTCTTTCTTCGAGAGGATGGAGGAGAGTGCCGAGGTGCTGCAGGAAGCCCCCCCCACCCGGAGCTCCTCAGCCCAGAGACCAGGTTGAATGGAGCACGTGGCACAGGGGCCACCGGCTCTGCCAGGCTTTCACCGTGCCCCAGCCCACAAGCTGCCCAGTTGCCCCAGGCTCCCTGGAGCACATGGGCAGACGCCTATAGGGACCCTAAGCGAAGATGGCATCCAGCCACAAGACACAGGTCACGTGCCCAGGGGTCCTTCACCCTCCACCACCACCCCATTGTCCCAGGAGGTCATTTCAGAGTCCAGCCCAAACAGCACCTTGCCACATCTGGCTGCCCCAAGTGCTCTGAGCTCCTTGCTGGGTGGCATTAATCCTAGAGAAATCTTGGAGAAGCGGGGCGGAAAGGAACCCCAGAGGTCATCTAGTGCAACCCCCTGCCTGAAGCAGGATCTAACGCTGGCACGAGCAACACAGCTGCACTGAGTTGCTCCAGCAAAGATCAGGCCCTCCAGAGACGGTGGGCAGGGGCAGGAGTAGGATCCCCCAGAGGCTTGCCTTTCCAGTCGTCTCACCCAGGATGAGACAGAAGCAAAGCGCGGAGAGCAGAGGGACCCTGGCATAGTTGGAGGCACAGTCTGCCCTTGGGCCGTCTCTGGGGCGACAATATCCCCACTAAAGGGATCTCCCATCGCAGCCAAGTCCCACATCACACGGGCAGGCAAGGACATGGCTGCTGCCGGGATGCAGAAGCTGGAGGCAAGGACGGGCTTGAATCACAAAGGTGCTGCACATTCATCATGCTTGCTGGCTGCAGGTGCTCGGCCCCTCCCAGCAAGCAGCCCAGCCCGGAGCTGATCCAGCGGATCCACCAGGGATCCCAGCCCTCCCCAATGCAGCTCCGGGCTGCATTTCCGAGGGGGAGGAAGGGTGGCGGGGGACAAAACTGCGAAGCCAACAGAACTTGCAGGTGCCAAGAATAAAGAGACAGACAAAACAGACCCACACACGTCCGCTCGGAGGCAACGCAATTTCCACGGCTAAGTAAACTGCAAACCAGGGTATAATTGGAGCAGCGGGAGCTGGGCAGGGGAAGGGGGAGCATTTTGGGGCTGGGCCAATCCACCTGCCAGACTCTGGGAAGGGGCAGGGCTCACTGGCACAAGGCAAAGCATCACTGCTGCAAACCTGGCACAAAGCAACTCCGGTGACATCCCTTCCTGTCCCCTGCCCCCCCCCAGCCGGGCTCCTGCTGGCTCTGGACACAGCCTGGGCTCCAGAGCAGGCTTAAAACAGCTCCTGCCTGTGACCCCTCCCCACCTGCCATGTGGTTTGGCCACAATTTGGGCCACGTCATGGAGACACAGAGGCCCCTGGTACCCAACCTCCTTGCTGGTCTGAAGCTCAGCAGCCAGGTGACCTGGTCCCCTGGGGCATACAGACATCAGTCCCTAGCCCCCCAGGATGGGTCAGGAAGTGCCCGGTGCAGGTCCTGAGCTGGACCTGACGGCTAGAGAAATACATGCAGGTCTCAGGCACCCCTCTTTCACCAGCTGCCGGCCATGGGCCCCCTCTCAGGAGATCTCTCAGAGCCCTGGGTGGGATCAGGGAAGACGGCAGCGTAGGGAGCAGGCAGCAGACAGCTGGTGCTGCAATGCAGATTCCCCCACCCACACGCCCACCCCCTCTGGGATTTCAGCCAAAGGGGATGGGGGTCACCTCCAGACCTCCTGCCACACAGCAAGGGAACAACGACAGTGCCACGACCCTCTGGCTACTGGGCCCCTTCTCCCCCACCCACGAGGCTGGGGTGGGAGATGCACAGCCCTTCCCCACGCTCCTAACAGGAACCTGCAGGACAGGCGATTGCAGGGAGGGTCCCCACTCCCCCGCCCCAAATGCAACCAGAAGAGCACAGCCATGCACCAGAGACCCCGTACTGCCAGGAAGGACTCACCGCCACCCCAGCCCCATGATCCTTCTTCCCCTGCATTTTTACAGCCTGTCCCTATCACAGAATCCAAGCCTGCTTGGGCTACCTGGACAGCTGGAGCACACAAGGGAGAGACATGGCTCACATCTAACTGCCTTAGACTGCCCAGCCCAAGGTCCCAGCCAGGTTGGTGCGGGGATTTGGCAGGAGCCTGCAGCGCGTCTCTGACTTGCGCCTCTGGAGCTGCAGCCAGAGGCAGCTGCCCTGTACCTACACCAGGGATCACTCCCAGGAAGGTGAGAGATCCTTCAGCACTGGATTTTTTGGCAGCAGTGACCACACCTGGGCCACACGCTGTGGTCCAGGTCTGAGGTAGCTGCTTGGGGCACCCGCTGCCCCAGCTCCTTTCAAGCACCGAAGAGGCAGCTGGAAGCCCTGGGTAGCCAAGAATGTGTCTTGGCCCCACTTCCCACAATGCCAATGCAGAAGGGATGGTGGGAACGGGCCACGGCTGCCACCAGAGGAGTGAGGAGCAGTGGTGGGTGAGGAGAGGAGCTGGATGGGAGACACTGCAGCCCCAGCAGATGGGATGGAGGAGGGCAGACGGCACAGGACCTATGGGGTCTATCACCAGGAAGTGGCCCTTCTGCCACCCCTACAGCCAACCCACGTCAGCCAGCAGGGCAATGGGAAGCAGCCAGTGGCTGCTCCCCTCTGCTAGGAGTGCTGCCCCCAGCGCCTGGTCCAAGCCTTCCAGGGCTTGGACTTACCCAGCTCCCCCAGGGAAGGGGACTAGTCTCTCAGCATCCTTGCCCTTGTGCAGCACAGGCTGAGCCCACGGCTCTGCCACTAGCCCACGGGCAAGGCAGAAGAGCTAAGGGCAGCCAACAAGTGAAGATGTGGTAGGGCAGCTGGTGCCATGCAGCTACCCCTGAGTTCAGGGAATGGCGAGGTCCCAGTCCACGTACTCTCAGGCATCAGGGCCCAACACAGGGTCCAAGCACCAGTGGGTCCTAATCATAGCCCTGCCATTGACTCACTGGGCTTGGGTCCTGCCTCAGTTTCCTCTCCCTCACCGAGAGCTCTGCCGGAGTTTCCCCATGCAATGGGAATGGTTACACGGGCACAATAAGCACCGTATAATCACCACGCACTCAGCACACTCAGAGCCAGGGTGACAAGTGCAGGCATCCCAGTCAAGCAGCATGGGGGAGTGGGTAGAGCACTTCCCTGGACTCGGGATGCCTGGGATCCACTCCCAGCTTTGCTAGATACCTACTGCGTGACCCTGGGCAACTCACTTCACCTCCCTGTGCCTCTTCTTTCCCAGCTGTACAACGGGCCTAACAAACACTCCATGCTAAGTGAGTGGGAAAATTAGATCATTATCATGATCCCTGCTGGGTTATTCAGTGTTTCTAATTATTCTGGTTTGCATATCAGCATGGGCTCTCTCTCTCTCTTTTCAACCCCTCCCCCAGCAACCCAAGAGCCATGCTAGAAACCTAGACCAGGGTTGCAAATGATGCCCTGCACTGCTTCTCCTGGCTGAGATCAAACTACGCCCAGCTTGGCCATCCATGTACCTGCTGACCCCAGTCAGATGCCCAAAACAGTCAGGATCAAGTTCAGGATTGCAGGAGAGGAGGGACTGAGCTCCAAGGTCTTCAGCGGAGCTGCGCCCACTGATGCACGGACAACATCTGAACCTCTGTGCTCAGCACCACTTCACACCCCAATGCTGGCTGCATTCGAACACACACAGTGCAGAGTCTTCAATCACCCACCCCACCAGACATGCCAAGGATGGACACGGCAGGAAACTTTAGGCACCAGGGTTTTGCTAGCTCCCCAAGGTTACAGGATAAACCCCTCCATGGACGTGTCTGGAGGATCACGCTCGCTTAACACAGCACCCACGAAATAGGGCACCAAGACCAAGAGGTCCTCCCACTGGCTGGCGTGACAGCCGGAGCCACAGCTACAGCCACCCGGTCTAGCGGGACCGGATCTCCCGTTGCACAGCGCCTGGACCAGGGAGGGCGCAGGCGGCCCAGTCCTGCCGGCCTTGCCCAGGGCACAGAGGGGAGGCAGACGGGTCTCGAATAATGGCTTGAAGGCTGTTGTGACTCGCGCGTGGCAGGTTTCCATGCTCTTTGCTCCAGGTAGGAGATGGCCTTGCTCCCGGACACGCGCTCTCCTCCCTCTGGCCCAGCTGCGCTCAAAGGGTGCTACAAGCCCCTGCCCTTGGCAAATGACCTTTGGCTTCAAGCAGCTCTGTCCCTGCCCTCCGGCCCTTCTGCTCTGCAGGGGCTCCCTCCCTCCTCCGGGCTGAGCCCCGCACACCCGAGCACCCAGGATCCCCGGCCTCGGGCACTGCCCACCTGTGCCAACAGCCCTCCTGCCAAAGGCCCCGCTTGGCAGCTCTCCCAAGCCGGTGAGCAGTGACTGGGGGCCTTTGGGTGCTCCCCGCAGGCTGGAGCCCATCCATGTCCCCCAGGGCAGCCCCACCAGACCCCCCAAGACCACAGCCTGCCCCGCGGGGGGATGCCCGGCCTGGCCCTGGCTGCGGTGCCACCCCGCGGCCCCACCACGGGGACACGAGGCAGGACGTGGCTGTGCCTCAGCCAAGGACCAGGTCCCCGCACACCGATGCCACCACCTCCCTCCATCCCTGGGTCCCAGCTCTGCCAGGACCCCCGCTCCGGACCCAATCCGGATTGCCCCGGGGGGGGCCTGGCGCTTACCTGCAACCCTCGCCGGCTCCCCTTGCTCCCGG